GAATGGATGTACTCATATAATGATACTAACGTTCCATTGAAAACATTTCAATATCTTAATAAATATGATCCACCTGAAAACATGAAGCAGGCTAAAAGGAAGACGGAGAAATGGTAATTGCAAATCCTGCAATGTTAATTATATTATTATTATTATTATTATTATTATTATTATTTCTAGGTCACGTGACATGTGGGGCTTGGGTTGTCTGCTGTGGGAGGTTTTTAATGGTCCGATACACCAGAGCTCTAATTTAAGGGATACTTCAAAAGTAATATTAAAATAATTACATACGTAAATTTGTCTTGTCACTTTTTTCTTTTTTTTCTCTCCGTACAGTTTCCAAAGAGTCTCTCCTCCCATTACTTACAGTGTGTTAATGCTAATCCAATGGCTAGACCCAATCCATCTGAACTATTGCAGTCTTTAAAGGAGAGAGGAGGCTACCTTAGCAACACCTTCATATCACTTAACTTGAAAATAGAAGAGCTTCAAGTAATAAATATTTTTTAAAAATATTTGCTACTATTAATAATTCTTTTTTTGTTTTTTCTCTCTCTCTCAGCTAATGGAGGCTGATAGGAAGAATCATTTCTTTGTCGAGTTGAACAAGTCGCTTGATCTCTTCCCTGACTCATTTGCACATCATAAAGTCCTTCCTCACCTCCTCAATGTGTTTGAGTTTGGAGGAGCTGGTCCCACAGTCCTTGCTCCGTTATTAAAGATTGGTAAACTGCTACCAGAGGACGAGTATCAGAGGAAGATAGTTCCTTGTATAGTAAGATCCTTTGGATCTAATGACAGAGCAACCAGACTGAACCTGTTGCAACACGTAAGCACAAGACAAAATAATAAACATTGTACTATAAATTACATATACTCTCTTTTTATAGTTGGATCAGTTTATTGATCAGTTGCAGCCTAGTGTATTAAATAATTCCTTGTTCGGTCAGATAGTGACTGGTTTCACTGACACTGTGCCAACAATCAGAGAACACACCATTAAAGTCTGTTTATTGTTAACAATAATCACATACAAATATCATCACTCCCTCTCTCTCTCCCCTCCAGGCCTCTCTATTATTAGCTCCCAAGTTGAATGATTCTAATCTAAGTCAATTATTGAAATTTTTTGCTAAATGCCAACTAGATGAACAGGTACAGTATATTATTAATTACTTATAGACTAAACCAATCATACTTGTGCATGTGCATGTACACGTTTATAGGCTGGTATTCGTACCAACACCACTATATGCCTTGGAAAGATCGCACCTCACCTGAACAGCAAGGTATGTGTTCCAATTAATGCACAGACCAATGAATATGATTATTATACTTTAGACTAGAGACCGGGTCCTTGTCTCAGCATTCACTCGTTCCCTTAAGGACCCGTTCCCTCCTGCTCGCTCAGCTGGTATAGGAGCACTGGGCTCCACCCTCTCTTACTACACACCCGTTGACATGGCAACCAGGATCATCCCCTCACTGAGTCATATGACTGTAGACAAGGACCAGTCCGTCAGAGAGCAGGTGGGTGGAGCTTGAGAAACAATGTACATGTAATAAATGTTACATATTATGCAAAATGACACTATAAACAATGATTGGTTTTTAGACATTTAAAGTTTTGAGGCTGTATGTTGATAAATTGGAGGAACACTCAAAGAAGATGGAGCCGTCGTCTGATGGAGAAGGAATTGAACAAACTGAAGGTATTAGTAACAAGCTGTCATAGCATAAATCTAAACTCTGTTTGCTCACTCTGCCCATACAATACATGTACTGTAGATATAATAATACTAGTAATAACAAGTTTTCAAACCATGTTTGCTCACAAGCAACACTCAGTGCTTTCTGTGTCTTTACAATACTTGTACTGTAGATAGTAATAATAATCATCATCACGATAATGATTATGATAATTACAGGGGCGTCCTCATCAGTGGCTAGTTGGACTGCTGGTTGGGTCAGCTCAATCAGTAAATATGTCTCCACCTCATCATCTGCAAAACCTGAAACCACACCTGCTGCCCCACCCACATCATCTTACCAACCTAGTAGTTAGACGCATTCTCACTAATTTATTAATTACATGTATGTACATGTACGTAGGTCAGCGACAGACACAAGAAGTCAAGACTACCATACGTACTACCTCTGAAGAAAGGAGAGATAATAAATGGGATGAAGACCAATGGGAGGTTTGGTTAACTACACCACCTAATATTATTATTATTATTATTATTAATCTTATTATTTTATTTTAGGATTTTGGTAATGACGATACTAAGAAAGGAACTACTCATTCATCATCAGGCTGGGATGATGAAATGTGGGAGAGTTTTGAGCCGACGCCTAAAAAAACCACACCCACTGGCCGAGCACCACCTTCATCCTCAATGAAGCTCTCAAAGAACAAGTCGCTGTCCCCTCCCCCTGACACACCCCCTGGTGATGACTTCTGGTCTCGTTTAGAAACATCAAAGCCATCAACGAGAGGTAGGGATAAAACCACACCTCCTCCAGTACCA